TTATTGTTGGAATTTCATTCTTGTTTAGTCATGATGATTACCTTGTTCCTCCTTATGATTCATCATCTTAGGTTGATCAATCCCAATTTGATGTACTTTAGTATGTTTTGTTGAATATATACCTACATCGTTAAACAAAATACCTTTCTGACACTTCTCGGATGGAAAACATTAATAATAATCAACACACTTTTACCAATTAACTAAACACTAAAGTTAACCTTCTTAGTAACAAAATCCACCTTGCTTACCACATATTCAAAGTAATAAGGAGATGCCACCCTTATTATGCTTATAGCATCCATAAACGAGATCACATACTCTCTTCATAGAGCCAAGACATTTTTTATGTAAAACCAATGAATAGTGATAGGTACCAAATCTTCATTGGATCTTTGAGGATTAATGAAATCTTGGTTGCATTTAGGCAACCATTAGGAACAAAGAGTTTCCTAAACTTACACTTTGCAATAGTATGACCCTTTTTGCAACAATAGTGACAATACAAATTGTGAAAGATAAATCTTTGCTATTTGGTTCCTTTTTAACAAAATTATAACGTCTATAAGGATTATGAGAAGTCATGTCATATTTAGAAGTATCTATAGAAAAAACAACCTTAGGTTGAAACGCCTTATCCAATTGGGTTTTAAGAGTTCTTGACTCTTTTTGCCAAATGTGACAAGTTTCACAACCAAACCATGAAGGTTTATCATCCTCGCTTTTATCTTTTAGAATATCTAGCATAGACTTCCTTAGAGCTTCCACATTATTTTCATTTTCCAAAATTTTATCTTATAAGTAGGAAATTATTTTTTTAAGCTAATATTTTGAAAGCATTTATGACTTGTCTTTGTAGATTTTCAAAAGATTATTGTAATTGAGAAAAATCTAAGTCATGAGAAGATTTAAGTTTAGAGTTACTTACAACCTTTCTCTTCCCTTTGTTTTCCATATAGCAAGCAAAGCTTTGCTGATTCAACAATTGAATTGGAGCTTTCATCACTTGAAGAATCATTTTCGCTCTCCCAAGCGGCATAAGCTCTTCTAAGCTTGCTAGATCTCTTATGATGACCTTTTCTTTGTCTTTCTTGAATGTAGGACACTTTGGCCTATAGTGGCCCGGTTTTCCATAATTATAGCATGAAATTATAGACTTACCATTCTTGTTCTCATCTGCCTTGGAGGAGTTACATAGCCTTATAGATTTGTTATGGTTCTTGTCGGAGTATTTATCTCTATGTTTCCACATGTATCTATTAAAACTTTTTATAAACAACCTCATATCTTCTTCATCAGAATTTTTGTCATTACTTGTTTCACAATCACTTTGCTTATAATGAGGACTTTGAGCTTGAAGACTTTAGAGCAATGGACTTCTTCTCTACCTCTTTGTATTTTCCTTTATCCTTCTTCACCTTCTTTTCACACTCCTTTTCATGTTTTTCCAAGAAATAGAGTTCTTGCTCTTGTTTTTCTAATTTTTTAAACAAGGTAGTGTGATCAAGTACTTTGAGATCATTCGCCTCTTTAGTAGCAATGACCTTGGGTTAACATTCCCTATTTAAACATCTCAACACCTTATTAGTAGCAATATAATTGGAAATAAGCTTACCTTGTGCATCCATCGATTGATAAGATATGTGAACTGTTTTCGCATTTCCGCAATGGTTTCACCATGCTCCATGTGAGATAGCTCAGACTCTTGATTTAATATGTTGATCCTAGTTTGTTTAACCTCATTAGTACCCTCATGGATAACTTCTAATGCATCCCACGTAGCTTTGACAGTCTCACAATGAGAAACATGATAATGCTCATCAACACCTAATGCGGATGTGAGAATACTTTTTGTCTTCCAATCATGTGACAAAAATTTTCAATCATTATCGAGATGACAAAGTTATATGGGAATACTTGTTTAGGCAGTTCCCCAATCGGCCTCACTATGGGTACATTTTCTCTCAATTCGAATTGATATGTTATATATATTACTTTGCAAATGCGTGCATACTAGAGATGAAGAACTCTAACCTTACAAACTCTAGGTTTGTTGTTGATTTTGCCACCTCAAAAACCCTTGATCAAAGATTGATCAAGTAACCAACAATGTCGCTTCAATTCACCAGTTCTTGTTACTACCTTGTAAGACCTCCTTGTCCCAAGGTTTTTACTCGGTCAAATTAATTCCAAGCGCACACTTGTTAAAACCTAATATTTACATACACGATCCACCGTCTCACGCTATTCCCTTGCAAAACACCCTTGTCCCAAGGCTTTTACTCGATCAGATCTGAATTGCTTAATTTTGTCTAAAACCTTCAAATCCTCAATGATCTTGAAGGAAAATCCCAACTCGGTTTTCTTATTTGAAATCCTCAAAGTTCTCAGCCTAATATTCTCGTTACAACAACCTAATTGGATGTTATGGACCATAATCTAGATGGTCACCGAATCAAAAAATGATTATGTATAGTTTGATTGTGTGTATACAAAGAGCATGCAAAAAGGAAATTAAAAGAAAGTAAAAATTCAAGATTTTAGGTCTATAGGTAGACCTTTCAAGGTCATGTGTCGGCCTATAAAGGTCTTGAGTCGACCTAAAACAGTCCCCACATGGACAAAGCCTATAGACTTCAATATTAAAGCATGTGTATCGACCTATATACAATATACGTTTTAACCTGAGCTGAAGAAAAAACTTCTATAGGTCGACATATACAATGTTTTTATACAAAAACTTAATTTTTGATGCATGAAACCTTTCAAGATCATTTTTGAATGCATGAATACTTTCAAAACCATTTTTAAATATGTTGACATGCTTCCTAATGCTAAAATTCACAATGGACACCTAAAATCAGATAATATCGTTCAATGTACAAAAGACGCTAAAGTTTCTCTTAGTTTTGACATCATATAAAACATATTTAAATGGAGAGTTGCACTCATATAATTGAATTTTTCAATCTTTTAGTCCCCATTTAAAAAAAAAACTAGTTTTTTAGTCCCTCTATTGAATATTTCTTAGGTTTTTTTTGTCCCCTTTAGTTTTGTAGATGTGGCAATGCCAATTGGCGTCACATCACACATTTTTGCCTCGTCACATTAAAAAATAATAAATTTTAAAATATAATTAATAAATAAAATATTGTTCATTAATTAATTATTATGTGCCACATGTCAATATATAATCAGACAATAATATTGAGCAATATATTTTTTAAAAAACAAATGAGCATATATCTCATGTACTTGCAACATGTTTTCTATTCGAAAGTCCATGAATGTGTTTGTTTTATAAACATTAAATTTGTTTCTATACAAAAGGATGTGAGACTAATCCATTAAAAAGTACTCAAAATTTAACTATTGCACCAGAGACTCCGCTTGCTTATGAAATTTCCACCCAACTTTCTCGACAAAGTTTAATATTTTCTCCTCAGCTCCCGTGCAAACTTTATTATGTTAAAAGAAGTTTATGCACCAAAATCATCCAATCCAAATCTTCAATAAGTCATAAGCTTATAACTAGAATCATCATTCATAATTGCAATAGTTGGATTTATGAGAATTTTAGATTGTGCATCCACAACTCTCTACTCACTAGTGTTGTTCCTGTGCATATCTAACACATCATATTATAATTTCATGCTTATAACTTGTTATTGTGCATATCTAACACATCATATTATAATTTCATGTTTATGATTGCATATGTCCATGAAGTCACATAACTACACACTTAAGACCAATATCAACTTTTATCCTAAATATGGTCCAATGAAATTTTAATAACTATAAATAATATAAATAATGCACTTGAGATCAAATCTCCCTTTTCATCAATATTGATAGTAGTGATAAAACTTATCGTTATAGTTAATTCACAATTCACTATTTATTTTATAGAGTTAATTTTCGAATAACGCTCTCCATAACAAAAAAAAACTAGAAAACACTTGCATTAATTTTCAAACGTGATCATAACATAATCAGTTATAGATTTAGATGAGAAAATAAATTCATATAGCTAAAATCAAAATCTAATTTTTCATCCGCAGTGGTGTTGTCATCTTATTCTATTTCAATTTTGATGTGCACATCAGCAACTAGAACCTTTGGGAAACATCGTTTTAAATGACATGCGAATAAGTAATCTATCAGCTTACATGTCATAGATAATCAACAATCAACAAACAACAAATGCAACTAAAGAACTCTTTACTGATATAGTTATAGTGATCACTCCCAACTTTGGATATACCTAGATGATATTACTCATGCATTCATCTTCATCATTTTGTACATCATAGAAAAAATGAATGATCATATGGCATTTCCTTTAATTACTTCAAGCGGATTTGACTGTCGCCTCAAAGAACTCTTTGTTTACACACCTTTATTCCGTTAAGAGGATCCGTTAAGAGGACTCTATATAAATCCTTCTTCTTGTATAATGGTCAAAAACATATTTCATTGTGGTGATTGCTTTACTTTATTGAGAAAGTTGAGTGTAAATTTCAGAAGCAAAAGGAGTCTTTAGTGCAACACTTCAGTGTTGAGTACTTTTTAATGGCTTGTAATTCAATCAATAATATTATGGCGTGGAATTGCAGAGGGACTGCTAGTAAGGCTTTTTATAGATATTGCAAGTATTATTTGGATGTGTACAGACCAAATATTCTGATAATCCTTGAAACGAGATGTGATCCAATGAAGCTTGATAAATTTTTTCAAAAGCTTGAGTTTAATGATAGTATTTCCATGCACAATATAGGATATTCTGGAGGTATTTTGCTGCTTGGAAAAAGGATAACATTGCTGCTTGGAAAAAGGATAACATTAATATAAATTTGTTTAAGAAAGATCATCAGTTCTTGCATCTTAGGATAACTGAGCAGAATAAGATGATTTGGTTTCTTACACCTATCTATGCAAGTCCTCGAGAGAGCAAAAGGAAGGACCTTTGGGATGAGTCGAAGAACATTTAACCAAATATGCAGGATCCTTGGCTTCTTGTTGGGGGTTTTAATGATATTGCTGGAAGTAATGAGAAGAAGGGTGGGGCACCTGCCTCGGTGCATAAGTGTAGAGTTTTCCGTGACAGAATCAATGATTGTAAGTTGATAAATCTAGAAACAGCTGAGCCTAAATTCACGTGGAGGGGACTTATCTTTCATGGGGGCTATAGGATTTATGAGAAGCTAGATAGAGCTTTAAGTAATGAGGCTTGGAGTCTTAATTTTCTGGATGCTCAAATCAAAACGCTTACGCACGTTGAGTTTTCAGATCATCATCCAATCTTAATCTCTCTGACCAAAGTCATGAAGCATAATGTTCCAAGACAGTTTCGCTTCGAGAGTGCTTGGCTGGCTGAGGCTACTTAGCATGAGATGATTAGAGGTATGTGAAGTTCTGATGACAATGTTATGGTGAATCTAGGGAATGTGGAATAAGAGATCCAACGTTGGAAGTTTCTCAATTTCAATCAGGTACTGGAGAAAAAAAAGGAGAGTTAATGGCTAGAATTAAAGGCATTCAGGGCTGTATGCAAAGAAGATCAGATGGAGCAGGATTGGTGAAATTAGAGAAAAAGCTTCAAAAAGAGCTTAATTATATTCTTGGGAAGGAAGAAATTATGTGGCATCAAAGGTCCATAACTGAATGGTTAAAGGGTGGAGATAGGAATACGAAGTATTACCATTTTAAAACTATCAACAGACGGCGGAGAAATAGGATCACAGTGCTCAAGGATGACAATGGGGTGTGGATAGAGGATAATGAGCAGTTAAAAGAATTGGTTAACAGTTTCTATAGGAAGCTTTTTGCACTCAAGTATAACTGGAAGGTGCTTCATAATACCAGCATCAGCTTTCTTAGACTGCAAGAATCAGATTTAAATAACTTAAAGATGCATATTAATGATGGAGAAGTAAAAAAGCGGTTTTTGCAATGAAGCCTTGGAAGGCGCCAGGCCCAGACGATTTTCCTGCTGGTTTTTATCAGAAGTCGTGGAATGTGGTGGGGAGACAGGTTTGTGATTTTGTTAAAAAAGTTTGGACCAATCCTAGCTGCATTGTTGAAGTTAATCAAACTGATATTTGTTTGATCACTAAGGTTCTCCATCTGATCAATGTTGCGCGGTTTCAACCAATGTCTTTGTGAAACACCTTATAAAAAGTGGTGAGTAGAGTTATTGTAGGGAGATTAAAAACTTTCATAGCATCCTTGATATCTCCGTATCAAACTGGATTTGTGCCAGGCAGATTTATACACGAAAACATTATTATTGCCCAAGAAGTAATGAATATTATGCAGAAGAAGAAAGGCAAGAAATGCATATTTACAATAAAAATAGATTTATCTAAAGCTTATGATAAGCTCAATTGGAACTTTATTACGCATGTGTTGCGGGAAGCTGGAATTCCTGATTATATTCTTAATATAATTATGCATGCTGTGAGCAGTGTAGAGACCCATGTTTTGTGGAATGGAGTTAGGAGCGAGTTCTTTCGTTTTCGTCCTAATCGAGGCATTCTCCAAGGACATCTTATTTCCCCTTATTTGTTTGTGCTTTGTATGGATAAGTTATCCCATATTATAGAGCAAGAGGTGGTGCAAAAGAGGTGGAAAGCGATCAAAATGGGGAAGAATAGTCCACATATCTCGCATTTAATGTTTGCGGATGATTTACTTATTTTTGGAGAATCTTCTGAAAATCAAATTAGGTGTATGATGAAAGTTCTGCAAGAATTTTGTTGTATGTCAAGACAAGAGGTTAGTAATGACAAGACTACCATGATGTTCTCCCCAAATGTGAATAGAAACATCAAGTACAATTTGATGCAGATTTATGGTTTTAGAGAGACATCAATTAGATTAGTGTGTGTAGTTTATTTCTTTCCGGGCCTAAGATCCTCTCTTTTACCAAAAAAAAAAATCCTAAAAAAATAAAAAATCTATATTATGTGGCACACAATAATCTTCATTTTCCTTTGATTTATTTTTGAGGCCCAAGTCATGCCACAAGTCACGTGCCATAAACAAGTGGAAAAAAGAAACCTACAATTGGAAAAAGAAAAGAAAACCGTCCAAGATAAGAAAAATGACGAAAGCAAAACAGAAATGAAACAACATAAAACCAAATAAACCCCTCATCTCAAAAAAGAACGAAACCAAGAAAACAAAAAAAATCGTGCAACAATGAAAATAATTGGCGAATTTTCATAACTATGCATTTTCTTTCGGTTTAATCACGATACACAGAATCTCAAGATACACCACAGTCTCAGATTCTCACTGCTTCTAGTCAAAAGGTTCGTTCAATTGTTCTATCGAAGCAACACAAAACACTTTCTCTCTACTTGCTCCAATTTCAGATTAGTTTTATTAATTTTTCTCAATTCAATTTAGGTCATAATCAAAATTTGTGGCGCTTTTGTTGATGTTATTTTGATTATGTGACGTAATAAGCTATGAATTTGTTTTTAGCTTGATATTATTTGGAAATTGTAATAACGTCAAGTTTTCTTAAGTAGTTCTCACTCGTTGATTGTTGATTGTTGTAATCTGAATTTTTACTATGCAGAAGCAAAATTTTAGCTGCTAGGGTTACTTTTTTTAAAAGCAGCATGTCTTTGGGTACTTCCCAAGCAGTTTTTCAGATTCAGTCTAGGGTTGTGCCGCAATCGGGGTATATTGAGCGTTACGGGAAATCCGAGTTGCGAGTAAAATGTAGGAAGAAAATGTCTTCAAGGCGTAGGTTTTTAATCGAAAGTTCTACTTCTAGTGTACTTCAAAGTCAGTTAAGACCTCATCGATTTCCGTTGACTGCTGTCAGTTTTTGTGATTATAAGAGCTATAGTCATCCGGGGTTACAGAGATGCAAATGCCAACAGGCTGAAAATTTGAGTGGCATAACTTCAGGAGATGGGAACGGGGTAAGGTTTGCGAGCGATGTTGAAAAATCAAATTTGGTAAGTAATGTGATGAGTGCAAAGTCGGTTGTAGAGTTTGGAGATGTTCAAGTGTTGAAAGAGGAAAAGGAGATTTTGTCGTCTAATATTACTAATGGAAATATCTCGAAAAACTTTGACTCTGTTAGCATCAACTCCATTGAGGAAGAAGCGTGGGATCTACTGAGGGAATCTGTAGTTAATTATTGTGGTAATCCTATTGGAACTATTGCTGCAAAGGATCCAAACAGTACCAATGTTTTGAATTATGACCAGGTCTTTATTCGGGATTTTATTCCTTCTGGAATCGCTTTCCTATTGAAGGGAGAGTATGATATTGTTCGTAATTTCATTCTTCATACACTTCAGTTGCAGGTAATCTCTTGGTCTTATATTAATGATAACATGTTCTGGCAACAGAACCAAATTTGATACAACTTCCTGCAATGGTAATTTGATACACATGTCATTGTTGTGCGTGTTCATTTTTTGACTGTGTTGAACTGATGTGCTTATTATGTGTTATGTTTTTACAAACATAGTTTATTCTTTAGTCATTACAGTTTGTTCAAAGTCCCATTAACCTAGCTCTATCTGCTTGTAATTTTTTTGGTGAGTTATAGTACTACCCCTCCTGTTCCTAAATATAATACCCTCTTGACTTTTTTCGTTGTCCCTTCTTATGTCATCTTTTAAATTTTCAACTACATTTATTATTTCTTTATCAACATATTCTTAATTATGTTATATCACTTTCCATAATCTAAAATAAATAATTCAATAAAAATGGTAACGAGTTTGCTCTCATGAAAGGTAAACTTATAAAACAATACCAATTGTCAACAAATTTGATGCCACTACCAACTTTCTTAATTCCTATGGTTTACTCAACGAGGTCCTATAAGAATGCTGAAAAAGCTTTTGCGTGACATTTACCATTGATGTTAATTGTCCATAATTAAAGGAAGGGGCGTTAACTAACACTTTTCATTGAGTAATTTTTCGTTGTTCATACTTCTTTGTCAAAGGCCCATTTGTATTTTCGTGTGAGATTTGCTGTTTTTGATACACTTAAGCATTGAACAAAGTTATCCCATTTCAGAGCTGGGAGAAAACAATGGATTGTCATAGTCCAGGACAAGGTTTGATGCCTGCTAGTTTTAAGGTTCGGACAGTTCCTTTAGAAGGTGATGATGACTCTGCAACAGAAGAGGTTTTGGATCCCGATTTTGGAGAGGCAGCCATTGGCCGTGTTGCTCCTGTTGATTCCGGTAAATTAACTGATAGGATATATAGATTTTTTTTACATAGCAAAAGAAATTTATCATAATACTTCTTGGATTGCTTAACTTACTTAACGTGTGATCTCAGGGTTGTGGTGGATTATTTTACTACGAGCATATGGAAAATGCTCTGGGGATTTATCAGTTCAGGAGAGAGTTGATGTGCAAACCGGAATTAAGATGATTTTGAAGTTGTGTCTTGCTGATGGCTTTGACATGTTTCCAACATTATTAGTAACTGATGGTTCTTGCATGATAGATCGAAGGATGGGCATACACGGGCATCCTTTGGAGATTCAGGTATTTAAGATTTCCTCTCTTCAGTCGTGTGCTACTCATCAACTATTTCTTATTAAGTGTAAGAATCAAATACAAATATTTATGTATGATTAGGATTAGAATTAGCAAGTAATATCAATTAGTATTTATTTTATATGCTATTATAAATAGAGGTGGGTGTAGTTCGAATCACAAATTCAACATGGTATCAGTTCAGGTTCTGATCACGTAGCTACTAGCTAGTAGGGTTTATGACAGATGCTGGCGACCGCTGCCGCCAAAAGAGTTCAGGCAAACTATCATATTTTTCCAGTGCTTCTGCATCTTTTTTACACGAACCTCCTAAACAGTCTATTATTTATTTTAGAAGACTCTTTTTTGGCTTTCGCAATGGCACATCTTTTCTCCTGTGGGCCCTTCTTCGGCATGTATTTTGACGACCCCTTTTTTGGCTTTCCTTAATGACATATTTTCTCCTATGGACCCTTCGGCATGTGTATCATCGGTCACTACCGACACCATTGTGATCATACTGTTGTTGCCAGTCCAGCAATAGTTCTTCATCGCTGTGTCATCCTTTCGGCATGTCTTCAAATTCTCCATCATGTCATCCGAGTTCAAAATTTCTTCTGCTGCCGTCATTCACTCTCAATTGGTTGACGTTTCTATCTTGCTTCTTTGTTTACGTTCACTATGCTCATCCAGTTATTCTCTTTTCCATTAGTGTTTCTCTGGGCATCTTCGGTAAGACTCATTCCCAAAAATTACCATAGCCACCTTCTGAAACCTCAGACTAGCACAGCTTCTCTGCTGACTACCACCGGCACAAATACTCGAGGCAGATGCAGCCTCTGTGACCCGGCCTGAATTCTGGAATTATGCAGCTCATCTGTATCACTGAATCAGTGACAGCTTTTTAGTAGTTGCAGCGAAACCAAATCCTGAATGATTCTAATTTACCTGGGAAAAGTTCCCCATTAGCTAGATTTTTTTCGTATTATGTTTCTAAGTTTTGTTTGCATATCAATTTTGTCAAATTAATTTATTGCTTTTTTCAAAAGCATTGTGTATCCGGGATGCCTAAAATTAAAGATCGCATTAGCGATCAAACAAAATTATCTAATGTATATTTTCTTTTTGCTTTTTGTTTTATTTTTCTGTTTCTAGGCACTGTTTTATTCCGCCTTACTTTGTGCGCGTGAGATGCTTACTCCCGAGGATGGATCAGCTGACCTTATACGAGCACTGAACAATCGTCTGGTAGCTCTTTCATTTCATATTAGGGAATATTATTGGATTGATATGAAAAGATTAAATGAAATTTACCGTTACAAGACAGAGGAATACTCGTATGATGCTGTTAATAAATTCAACATATATCCAGACCAGATTCCTCCGTGGTTAGTGGAATGGATGCCAAACAAAGGAGGCTACTTAATTGGTAACTTACAACCTGCTCACATGGATTTCCGGTTTTTTTCACTGGGAAACTTGTGGTCTGTTGTAAATAATATGGCCACAGAGGAACAATCACATTCTATATTGGATCTTATTGAGGCCAAATGGTCGGATTTGGTAGCAGAGATGCCACTCAAGATTTGTTATCCTGCTCTTGAAGGTCAGGAGTGGCAGATAATCACGGGAAGTGATCCCAAGAACACGTATTGAATCTAACTTTCCTCTGCTTATGTTTTACTGCTATAATATTTTTCATGACATGATTTTCTTTAATTTTATTTTTTGCAGGCCTTGGTCCTACCATAATGGAGGCTCCTGGCCATCACTGCTCTGGCAGGTCTGTTACAATTGCAAAGTTGACGCACTTGCATCCCTATTTATTTATTTTACATTGCAACTAGTCGACAATGAAATGATATTGTTTGTATACAGCCAAGCTGTTCTGATTTCTAGCTATACCATACTTTTTCACCGTAGCTCTTGTCATAATCTGTCCTATTGAATCTTTTTCATCTTTCACATGCAAAATCCTTTCATAGCTTAGCCGTTTTCTTCACATAAGCATTGCATGTTTGAGTTAATTCAACGTTCAAAGTTTTAACATAAGAAATACCTATTGCAGCTCACAGCTGCATGCATAAAGATGAACAGACCACATATTGCTGCAAAAACTGTTGAAATTGCTGAGAGGCGTATATCAAGAGACAAGTGGCCTGAATATTATGACACAAAAAGATCCCGATTCATCGGAAAACAATCTCAACTGTTTCAGACATGGTCAATTGCGGGATACCTTGTGTCAAAGCTGCTGCTTGCAGACCCAAGTAAAGCAAACATACTGATAACTGCAGAGGATTCTGAACTTGCAAATGCTTTTATTACTGCCAATCCAAAAGGAAAGCGCGGGAGGAAAAATTTGAAGCAGACCTACATTGTATGAGTCTTTGATTGCAATTCATTTGGTTCTTTTTGAGCATCTGATAGGTTTATGTGCCATTTATTATTCATAATTGACTTCATTTTTCTTCTGAGTAACAGCATATTATTCTAGAAACAGTATGCAAAATATATAGGGTTGGTTATGATGAAACTGTCTTAAACTAGTAAATATTGTATATTAATTGAAACATGTTAATACTTGAGGACTAAGTCGCATACGGAAGATACAGTTAATCTAGATGAAATATTTCTCCCCTTAGTTTGTATATCAATTATTATCGTTTTCTGTAACAGTGGCAGTATACCATTTGATGAAAATGTGCAGTGGTATCCACAGAATTCAAGGATAGCCACTTGAAAATCTTGGACCCTTGTGTTAGTGAATGTAATTTATGAAAGTGATGTGTTACTTGCAATATTCTAAATTTGTAATAAAATTAATTTAAATTAAATTGGACTGAGTTTTGGAGACAATTGTGATTGGCATAAATAGTAGTTAAAATTTACTTCTTTTTTTCCTCTCTTAAAAACAACACCCCTACAAAATTTATCAATTATGACTGATTTTTTTGGGTGGTGTTGATTACATCCCGTCAATTGATCACACATCCCATAAAAACTCAAAAACGCCTTTTTTAGTGTTGAAGTTTGAAATTTGGACGCATCGAGTTTACAACAAGATCCCTTCATTAAAGCGAAACCTTTATTTTTTGGAAAAAAAATGAAGTTTTGGATTTCAATCTTTGGATATACTCTACTAAAACCTTGGATTTTAATCTCCAGATAAACCTCACACAGTCACACATTGACTTGGTCTGTGTTTCATCACAATGGGGTGAATCTGGAGTTTGTAATCCGGAGGAGCACTTGAACAATTTCACTTTTGCGCGAGTGTTTATTTTATAAACAATGGTGTGAATCCAAATTCTCAAAATCTTGACAAATCCCAAGGTCAATCTTGAAATTAAAATCCATTTGGGGCTTGAAAACTTGAGATGGTGATAGATATGATATCACATCCAACTTAATCATACTGTCACAGTATCACTATCAATATTTTGATAGTAATAACACAGCAATGCCTTGAGACTTGAACTGTCACTTTCAGTCACAGACACACCACACACAACCATGATTCGCGTATGTATCACTTTTTTCTTTTTTTGCTGGGAATGTGCATATATCACATGATATGTACTCTTCCTCTGTCAGCTGCTTTAGCTTGCGAACTTCTCTGACCTATAACACAACCAACCAGGTTGTCTGTTGTTAGTGTATCTGTTTTCTCGTGCTATTCTTGGAATCTAAATCAGAACGAACTACCGCGTGGAGATAAAATTATAGTACAATTACAACGTTAAAGACTGTTTTCTTTTTTGCAGTTGCCACTCATAGTCACAGTTTATGCTACAATAAAAGAGACTTTTCATGTTGCTATGTTGCTGAGTGGTTTGTCTTATTAAATCATAAAAAATAAGGTGTTTGGTTTCATTTGTGTCTTAGGCATGTATTTTGAAGTGATGAGTTGAATTTTTTTTACAATTTTTTTCATACTTAAATAATTGTTTATTTATATACTATTTTATATCTACAATAATTATACTTATTAAATATTTTAATGTGAAACTGAAAATTGATTGTAGGTTGATGAACTCCACCGAAGAAGGTCTTAGACATGTTGGTAGAGTCTTCGATCGACGAAGATGAAGTTAAAAATAAAAAGTTTGCAAGTATGTAATGGGTTATAAATTGGTGTGACGCAAAGTCACACTTATATACGGATGATGATTAGAACCGCCCCTGGTGAGTGCCTCATGTGGGAACAGTTTGGATGGATTCCAAATGTGGAGATGAGAATGGTGTCTAGATTTAATGCATAGCTCCCTTGCAACAATACACTTGTTCGTCAATTTAAGAAGGCGAAGCTTTGGACTGTACCTTCGTATTTGTTCGATTTTATTGAGTTGTTTGACTAGTTAAAAACAAAATGCACCCGTCTTTGCTATCAGATACAAAATTAGAATTGCTGTGAAATTTTCAAGACTGTCCTTAAGAGAGTTTTGTTATGAAGTTCCACGACCATTGAAAGAGTTTTTCTAGCAAAAGGAGAAACCAATGATAAGTTGAGTGGGAGTTAAGAATCTTGTCTCATCATTGAAACGTTACTTTGGGGAGTACCTCCACGGGGACCTAGGCGTTTTGGGTAGGGAGGATGTTCTTAGAGTACTTAAGTGTACTCGAGTGCCGTTATAAAACCGCTGTCAGATCTAGGCGTTGATCGTGCAGTTTTCCTTGATTCTATATCGCATGCCAGTATTTTCGTTTTGATTTCTTAACTTTAGAGTGTTAATCTCTTTGCCTTCCTTGCCATTCGAATTCTTGCAACCTTTCGTATTCTTCAATCCATATCTCTATCCTGAAATACCTTCTGAGACTATGGTGATTCTTCATTCTTTGAAATATGTAAATATCTCAAGACAACAAAATATTTATATTATTTTAGTTTTTTTGTGTTTGATTTATTATATAACTGCTATAGAAATATGGGTATCCTAATCATAAACCTAATTAGTGACGATGAACATAGTGATGCGTCCTCTCGAGCAGAGGCAAAAGTGATAGATCTGGTAGGTTTGGAAGTGTCATCCGACGAGATTAGGAACCTGACAACAAACTTTGTAGAAACTAGAAATCTTGATGGCATTAAGAACACAACAATAAAAACTTTTGAAGTGTGAGGTTCAGGGGTTAGAAGCCTATGGATCGATACTGACGCATATGGTTCACTTTCCCATCCTTGGATTTACCAAACTTAGAATATGTAGATGAATTTAGGAATGAATGGAAGGCCTAAACCTATATTAAGGCTAAAGTCACGTGGTGGATAGAATCATAATCGAGTTAAATTTTTTATCTATTGTTAGTAGTGTTAAAATGGTGCGGAGGGACTAGCACAATAATGAGCTTCTTAAGAATGTTGACCAACTTCGTTGGGTAGATAAGGAAACGTAAGGGACAAACTTGTTCTTCACGAATAAGTAGAGCTTGGGCAATGCCTATGTAGGTCATTCTTTTGATTTGGGGGTGGGGGGGGGGGGGGGGGGGGTGCTCCCTCTAAAGCAAAACATTATGCAATCACTATTCCAGATGTGTTATACCCTTACACATATGTCTCTTCTTACGGATGAGATTCATGCACCCTTTCAACGACTTTGAGGTAACGATTATTAACCATATATGTTATTTTTCTTTTATATAATTTTGGTGTGAATACAAGAGTAATGTCCCAACCTCGGGGCCTTTCTTCCATCTTTTTAACATTCAACAATCTTTGGCTAGGTCAGACTGTGGTCAATTGTTTAGGCAGGGCAAGAAGATGTTCAAAGTGTATATAGATGGTCTCAAGAATTCAAAATACACATAATATCTAGTCACCATTCTTAGCCACAATATAATGATAATATCAGTAAAATTAAGGCTAGACACCCTTCAACTCCATCATAGAAGTCCCAATCTTCTTCAAGATGTAATGCCAAATTTCCAAAATTTTGGCGATATAATCAATTTTTAGTGGGACTGAGGTTGTACATATATCAACCCTATGACCTATCTCAAGAAGAAGACAATCGGAGACTATGCTTACCATATTTCGGGAAAATCTTAACTTTGTTAAAGATGTCGGACCTTCTTGCGCCAGTTCTCTAGAGCGGAGGAAGCTCCATATTAACACTCTTCTGTTGATTGAAGTGACTACTAAAGAAGATATGCAAAATATTCTGATGAACGGGGATATCTTTTGAACATTCTTTGGTACTTAGTATTTTTTTCTAAAGGTATCAATTAATACTTATCACCATTTATTTCATTTTGGAGATAAGATGAACTGCCTAAACACCATCATCTAGATGAGGAAGTGCTTAAAAGACACACCCTCCCCATCTATCATTACTACTATGCGACCCCGATGGAAACTTTCCCTAGATATGGCCCACGAGAGCTAGAACCCTTGACAATTATTCTATTGGAACAACCTAGGAGGAAAGGTCCTCCCTGACCCAAAGGCGACCATGTACATAAGTCTCATCGTCTATCAAAGACGGTAATGTTTCTGGGTCTTTGTCAAAGGATCTAAAAAAAAAAGAGTGAATAAAGGATCTTTCTCCGAAGGTCCTTCTTCCAAGAAACCACGAGTAAAAATGTTAATCCTAGATATGCCAGACCTCAAAAGAAGTTCACATGTCCCACCTTCTGTTAGGCTTCCATTTTTCCTTGATAACATTGGGCATATAACGACCAAGGATTTTCAATCTCACGTCTTTGAAGAAGATTGTGCCTATTTTAATGGAATATCGAAGACATCCCATTGAAAGGAGAAGGAATAAATGTCTTATCAGATGTGCAGTGATGCCTCTTTGTTAGCTTTTGAAGCCATAGGTAATGGAGACATTATGACCCATGAGAACCTCTAAAAGGAGAAATAAGTTATCTAAGAATGTCTCAATGCCAATATTATTTAAAGGGATAAGCTCTTTCATGTCCTTACCAAGTCGTGAAAGCTTTTGAAAAAAATGGGTGATGATGTGTAGAAGTATGAGTTTCCATCTACCTTGAAAAATAAGGCTAAATAATTGACGTTGGTGATCAAAGAAAAAGAGATGACTTTGACTATTGTCCAAAATAATATTTGATACAAAAACTGCTTTGGTCAATGTCAACGAGGCTTTTGATTATTCTCTCAAGATGGTGGAAGAGATGGAAGAGGCCTCACACGAGGCTTAAGAGTTTGGAAATGGCTTAGGAGAACTTGTGGGAGGTAGAATCCAAGAAGATCCATTCGAATAAGCTATACAAAGCCCATTAAGATCGATTATTCTGTCATGCAAGCCTTCTTTGATAATTCTTTGATGCAAGTGGACTACTTCTATCTTGAGATTAAAATGTTGAGAGAGAAAATTCACGTTAAGCAAGATATAGTGGACAACAAGGTGATCATTCTCTCTC